ACTTCAAGTAAATGCTTATTTTTTGTTTCAGCTATTCCGTTTTGTTGAGGTGTGTTAACACATGTAGACTGATGAAAAATTTATTTTTCTGTCAAAAAACTTCCTAAGAATTCTTTAAAATATCCGGTTCCATTATCTATATGAAGGATGCCAATTTATGTTTGAAACTGATTTTAAATTAACATGTAAAAGTCCTTAAATAATTTTTCTACCTCAGATTGTTCTATGCATTAAGTAGACCCAACACAAACGAGTGTGATCATCAATAAAGGTCACAAATCATTGTTTTCCAGAAAGAGTTGTAACCCTAGAAGGGCCCCAAACATCACTATGTATTAGATAAAACGGTTTTGAAGCTTGATAAGGTCGGGGTGAATAACTAGCACGATAACTTTTTGATAAAAAACAGTTCTCACAATACAAAGATGAACAATCCAATCCTTTAAACAGTAGCACGATAACTTTTTGATAAAAAACAGTTCTCACAATACAAAGATGAACAATCCAATCCTTTAAACAAAGTAGGAAATAATTTTCTTAGATAGGCAGTTCTCACAATACAAAGATGAACAATCCAATCCTTTAAACAAAGTAGGAAATAATTTTCTTAGATAGGGAAAACTAGGATGCCCTAGTCTAAAATGTCATAACATAATTCTCTAATCGAAATAGAACTGATACTACTTAGTCCTTGAGCCTTTTTATTTTCAGAAATATCATCTTCAAAATAGTAGAGACCATCTATCATCTTAGCATTGTCAATCATCCTTCCCGAGTTTGGATCCTAAAATTCACAGTGGGATTCAAAGAAAATAACACGACAATTAGAGTCTTTGGATAATTTACTAACTAACAGGTTACAAGCAAGTTTTGGAACATGTATGACAAAGTTTAGATTAATGGAGGAAGAGAGTTTGACCAAATATTTGCCTGCAATAGGAGAAAAAGAACCATCGGCTATTCTGATATTGGCTTCGAATGTCATTAAGACAGAGGTTTCAACAGTGCCAATGGACTCCTTTCTTCCAAGCATAACCAGCCTTCGACTCTCTTCCCTTCGAACCTTAGAAAAATTCTCACCAATCGAGGGCAATGGTTGTCTCCCAATAATCCTAGCTCTCACTTCATCAAACTCGACATTGAGTCCAATAAGGAATTTTGAAGATGTGATTGTCTTCCACGATTTTTATGTACTAATTGCAATCCTCAGGCGATTTCCACTCATAATTATTGAACAAATCAAGGTTCTGCCATAGCCGCTTCAATGAGTTGAAGTATTTTGTAACGATTTCTTTCCCCTGGCGAATCTCTCCAAGTTTCAGCGTCAATTTATAGACTTGGGATTGATTTCCCAGGTCTGAATACATATGGTTGACATTCTCCCATAGTTCTTTTGCTGTGTGATAACACATGTAATTAGAACTAATGTCCTACCATAGAATTAACCAGCCAAGTCATCACCATTGAGTTCTCTGCATCACAGGTTGAATACGACAGATCCTCTTGTTGTGGTTCCTTCTTTTCTCCTATAAGTAGTAGATCTTGCCCTTGCCTCGAATGTACATCCTCACGTATTGGGACCAGCGAAGAAAATTCTCTCCATTCAATCGGATTATGGTAATCTGAACAGAGTGTGATTCAGAGTTTGAAGTCCGAGGATCATGGGGTTTTATTTGGCTAGTGGAGGAGGTGGTGGATTCAGAAGTTTTGTTAGACATGGTGAAAGGCTGATTAGAAAAATTCGGCTAAGGTTTTTTCTGTTAGCTCTGATACATGGTTGAAAAACTAGGAGAAAAATAAAAAGTTGATTATTTTCTATATATTGCCGCAATTTATGAGTTACAAAGCTGCTACTTAAATAGGAAAAAATACATAAGGCTAAAAAAGGAAATTACAACTGTACACTAATAATAATCCTGATTTTCCTGATTCTCACTCATCCCTAAATATCTGGTTGGTTAAAACCGAATATCTTCTATTCAAAATATAAATCTTTCCTAGAGATATATACGGAAATCTCCTAGGAAATATTCCTCCTATTCAACAGTTTTCTTTCTCATATGCAAAGTACTTATTGATTGTTCATTGTTTAATTTTGTTATACTCACAATTGGCATATTCATGCATGTTGTATACACTTCAGTGTTGCACATATTGATTGGTAACATTGAAAAAAACCATCAGTGTTAACTGACATTGATTGATCGACTTGGAAATGATGCTTACAATCCATGAAATGCAAAACACTTCACCACTTTACTTGTCGATTCCACGAACAAACGATCACGATAATGATTTGAGGCTCAAGCAATCCATGAAATGCAAAACACTTCACTGACCACTTTACCCGTCGATTCCACGATAAAACAATAACGATAATGATTTGAAGCTCAAGGCCTTGCATATTTAGGATATATGCCGATCAATCAATGTCAGTTAACACTGATGGTTCGTTTTCAGTGTTACTAATCAATATGTGCAGCACTAAAGTGTATGTAGCATGCGTGAATATGCCAATTGTAAATATAACAAAATTAAACAATGAACGATCAATAAGTACTTTGCATATGATGAAAGAAAACATTGTAAAACGTAAAATTCAATGTGTAAAGCGATATTGAAACGTGGTAATATGTGAAAATAACTTATGCAATAATCTCACCATGGCGAGACTTGTTTTTAAGGCACTCTAAAATTTTCGAACTCCGAATACAATTTCCAAATGAAGGCTCAGCCCCTATTTGTTGGTATCAATATATATTATGCTTACACATAGGATGAGCTTTTACACACTTATCCATGGATATATATTTAATTCTTAGGCTTATTCATAAAATAATCTTGTACACATTTATCCATAAATATATATACTTGATTCTTAAGCCTATCCATAAGATAAGCTTGTACACATTTATCCATAGATAAATAAATATATATTTATTTCTTAATGTATACTCATTAATAATTACATATATTAATCCATAATTCTTTAAAATAAAATAACAATAATATTAAGGTGGGGTGTTACAAATTGTTTATGTTCAAGTGTGTGCATGTGCACATGTGTGCCAATAAAGATCTGTCAGCATGCATGTGAATGCGTTTCTACATGTAGGTAGGAATTGCCTCTACTGTTCCTCATGAACACAATAGATGACACGCATATGATCCATAACGTTGCCAAAATATTAAATGCACTTCAAACAAATATAATCCATGCAATTCCCAGAACCAGCTATCATAAGTAAACACAAATTATTCACTGGAAGACTGAAAGCAACTATTTTCTCATTGGAAAAAATTTATTCATTTGTAAACATGTGGTTTAACATAAGTTAATTTTTTTCTCTTTCCATCTTGAAAGAGGTATGATTATGTATATCATGGTGAATGTTGTTTAACGTCATAATTTACATCTTTCTTAACAGAACAAGACTAAATCCCACATCTCTACATTAAAACACGTTTAGATTTTTTAACTCGCAAGAATTATATATAAAATCTCAGCTGTCTCTCCTAGAGATCATCTGTTTACTGCGTTTCTCCTTTTTACCAAGAGCAGTGGATTTTTCTGAGAAGATGATTCTAACTGTATTTACAGTAAGGCTATCACTAAAACTCTCTAGGCTCTGAAATTGTTTGACTATCAGCAAGTAAGCAGCAGATTTTCACATATCACCTACCTATACTACCCATTTTTGTTTTTTTAATGCATGGTGTTCGTATGCAGTCATTGATAGTTTTATAGATGATAAGAAGCGTAACAGAGGAACTCCCTGGCTAGGGATCTCTATTTCATGGCCTGGTGGATGATGGAGCTGTCAGTGTAAGTATTCTCAGCAGAAAGTGAAAACCTAATAAATAAATTTACACAAGAAAAGAAATATTTTGAACTAACCTTTCTGTGCAGATAATGATGGCAGCTTTGGTGCTCATGATTCCAAACAAGAAGCAAGAAGGAGAAAACTGGAACAAGTGCGAAAAGATCTCATGGGTGTTCTCCTACTGTGTGCTGGTTTTGCCATAGCTGATGGAGTCTGCTCGAGTGTGCAGATGTACACTGCCAATCTGCACTTCCTCTCAGCAGCCCCACCACTCACAGTACCTCCACTTGTCAGCTTTGTAAGCAGCACAATTACTGAGTTCACATCTACTAATGCCACATCTACTCACGTCATCTGCTCCTTGCCCAACTAGCCTAGTCGGCCACTGGGTATATTGACATCAAGGATATGATAAAGGATGGTTTGCTTCTGAAGATTGAAGGGATTGGAGCTCTACACTCCTCATTCCGACATTAGGTAAAACATTTCCATCTTGCGACCAACCACATATGTATGACATTTTTCTGACATAAAATTCTTTTCTCTCTCTCTCCATGTGTGCAGGTGGATTTGTTTTTCAGGATGAAATAAATGTGTAAGGGGCTAATTTTGTGAGTTAATTTGTACAGTACATCGTTTCTGAAGGGAAAATATACGCTAAACTCCTGGTTTGCTTTTCTATTGAGGTGTTTCTACAATGTTCTAAAGATTCAAGATGGGGAATTATCATGATTAATGAATATTTTGAGAAGAGGGTCAGGGATTAATTTAACCATCAAATACACATTAAATATACAACCATAAAGAGGCACACACTGAAACTGCCAAAAATATGACATTTGTGATACATAAATGATGAATGGGATTGCTCATATAAAATTCAATCTGAAAATTAAAAATGGGCTAGCAAGCATTATCAGATGATTAATATTTCTTACAAAAGATTGTTTTATGCTGAGAGAACTGCTAAAGAGGAGCTACTAAATTAAGGCTTGAAAAGAAAACAAACCTCATCCTAGTTCAAGATTTAAGATTTTGATTTAGGCCCATAAGATAGGTTGGCCAGGGTATCTTGGATCTTGAAGTAAACCTTACATAGACCTTAATCATTTGTAGCCTTAGGACACCTAAAACCAATTTAACAACAGTTTTTGTTTTTAACTTACTCTGAACAAATGAATAATTTATCATATACATTCACGTATATCAGCATTATTCTTGAGGAAATGGATGGTTCACATATACATTTTCTCAACAATCCGCAGATACATAATAAATTTATCATACCAAAAAAAATTACACGAAGTAAAGGAAAAGACCTTTTGATAGTTCTAAGTGAGCAAAAGTGTGCTTACTGTGTTTGCAAAACGTATTTCTGAAATTTGGAAATGATTCTCTATAAAGAGGTTCGGTTCTCAATGGAAGACTGGATTTTATCAATAAAATTTTCAACAGTCATGGTCCCAAGCTCACCACCAAACCGAGACCTAATAGTTACTGTATGGGTCTCAACTTCTTTTGGTCCAACAACTGCCATTAGAGGAATTTTCTGTTTTTCTGCGTTTCTTATTAGCTTTGGCAAACGCTCACCATGGCAAAGCTCTGCACGGATGCCACTGGATTTCAGCTTTAATACTACCTCACTGCTGCAATAATTCACCTGAAACATTGATATTATTTGGTTTAGATGCCAACTGAGCTAACATAACACTTAATTGAACAAAAGCTGCTGAAACAAGACGGGATAATATTAATCAAGCCACATTTCTTAGCAAACTAGACCCGTAGAAAGAACGCTTCACAAGACTCAAATCTCAGCTGTTTTAAGTACAATCAATCTATGTTTCTTTGTTAAATCATGTTCCCACACAAAAAGGACCAATAAACAAATCTAAGGTAAAATGGCAAAACCACTAAAACTTTGCTTCTGGATACTCTACTATGAGGAGATTCCTGACAAAAGGTATATATTATAGATGTGCAGGATATAGCACTCAAATATTACCCTTGACCAACATAGTAAAAAGTAGGAGGGATGGGAAACAAACACTTTTAGTAGTTTGATTGAGTTAATTATCATTTGGAAAAAAAAACATGTAACTATGGTTTCCAATATGTGGACAGCACAGCAGTCGAACTCTATGGATTAACAGTTACAATTAGCCCGGCCCGGCTTTGGTTCAGCATCAGCCCAATGAACTTCTGATGAAGCTGACACAATGTATCACATCCCTAAGAACGACTTTCTTTATCCACAGAGGCTTCATTGTTTTCTTAGCATTTGTTGTATAGTCAAAGTAGTACTATTGTGTAAACCAAACCGGAAAAAAAAAAGAAAAAAAAGAGGCTCAACTCACATACCACACCACTTTTCACTACGGTGCATCTATGTAGCAAAGACACAGCAATGCCCAAACCTGTTCCTTGTCAGACGTGTCCAACACAATATGATACTTCTATTTTATGTGTATCTTTTAAAATTTTCAATTTGCTAATTATCTCTTATCTTATCCATATCCATGTGACATGTACATAAAACACAGTTGTTCCACTATATGGCTCCACATGTATGCCTCTCGGCATTTTCAAGGAGACCCACTTCAAGGAATGAGGCGAAGTGCAAGCCTCGGATGAAAATTACTAAATGAATAGGCAAATATTTTAATATCTTGTTCGATGCATAGTCATGTGGACCGAGGTAGGGGCTCCGATCCGAAAGTCGAAGGCTCTCAAATGTTTTACCTTCAACGCCAATGTGGATCCAATCAAAAAGTACGAGGTTCTTGATATTGTGAACTTTGGCGGGTACTGATTGGGATCTGAAAGGAGCAGATAGATTTTTAAGTTTTCGATAACTCCCCAGAGCCATGTTTGAATACGGTGAGGAGTTGAACCTTGAACGACATTGTAAGGTCCTAATGGAGCTTCACTGGAGGGAAGGAATGATTGACAACTCGGCGAGGTGATATCGTAACTCAAAGGAGGCCGATCGGAGGAGATCCGACATTGACGATACTCAATATGACCACAATAACTCATCGGAGAAACGACGTTAACGCAAAGAAAGGCTTGTTGATCATAGGCAATCATCAATGAGACGTGTAAGGAATCCAGTCGACTTTGGATCTCGAACAAAGACTTCAACTTTCAGCATTTTGCGAAAAAACTTAACTTATGATGAAATAATCAAAACAAATAAACAACACACCAAACAAGAAGATTTTACGTGGTTCAGCAATGTGCATACATCCATGGGAGAAGACGTTTTATTACTTGAAAAAGAATAATACATAAACACTTCCCTCTCATTATCACCTCACAAGAGTAACCACTCCGGCTTTTTGTATCCTCACAAGGATAGCAACCTTCCACTTGTAAATCCTCACAATAATACTCTCCTTTTTCTTCTTCTTTTTCCTTGTCTTCTTCACCATTTTCTTCTCAATATTACAGTGAACCTTTCAAGGGGTATTTACATATTTCTTTCCTCCTATTTTCAGCTCAAGTAGAATTCCTTCTTTTGACCAATTCTAATCCCTACAGTATTCCGTTCTCAAGACATTTTCTAGAATTGTCCAAATCCTAGTCTTCTTCCAACTAGAATTTAATTCCATTTGTACTTTTCCTTTCGGTCAAAGTCAAACTTTCAATCCTAATCAAATTATGATGTTTCAGTGCAAGTCATATTCAACAATCTCCATCTTGGCTTTTATTGAACCAGCTCGTCGCCTATCTCCACCTTCACAACCTCCACCTTATGTCGCATATTGTCCTCAAAACCATGAGTGCATGAATATCTGTCACAACCTCTATGGAGCCGCATGCCTTCCTCAAATCCATGAGTATCTGAACATCTATCACGGCATCCACCTAAAGCTGAATGCCTTCCTGAAATCCATGAGTACTAAATATATGTCATGACCTCAAACTGAAGCTGAGTACCTTCCTCAAATCCATGGTTTCCTTTACTGCCTTCCTCAAATCCACGAGTACTAAATATCTGTCATGACCTCAACCTGAAGCTGAGTACCTTCCTCAAATCCATGGTTTCCTTTACTGCCTCCACCTGAAGTTGCCTACCGTCGCACTCTGCACCCGATACAACATGCCTTTCTCAACTGAGCATTTGAATTTTTTTCTCACGACTTTTGCCTAATGTCATGTATTATTGTAGTTTACACTACATTCTGCACTCATGAATGAATACCTGAATGATCACTTCACGATCTCAGCAAAGTCGTGTCTTGATCTCAATCATATATATCTGCTCTTGCAATGATTGCACACCGCTTATCTGCCATTAGATTAATCATCACCTTCCAAGCACCAAACGAATCTAAAAATCAACTCATCGATCAAAAGAGCTCCATTTCCCATTTCCCGAGTTTGCCGACAATCCCTAGACTGTCTGATTTGAGATTTAAGATATTGATAAATCTCACATCACTTTCACGTAAGCCAAACGCTACAAAAAACTCGTGTCCCCCCCTCATATGACTTCCTTCAGCACTTCACTATGTCGTCTACCGCCAGTTTGGTGCCTCAACCGTTCCGCCATTCTTTTTGGCCTTGAGCTGCCAAATTGCCCGACTTCTGGCATCTATCGTGCCTACTGATGTTCTGATCATCGCTGATTGTGACTTGCTGAACACCGTCTTCACCATCTCCAGCGATGCTTCTCCACAGCCGAATATACCTTACGCACCTCCCATGCACTGTTCTACATTTTTGCTTGCGACCTCTGTTAACGACCAACTCATCATTGTATCCTTGCGCTAGACGCGGAAACAAATCCATCGCTATTGGCCGCCTACACGAATCGTATGCATCTGTGCCTCCGCTCATCAGCTAGTCCTTCGCCGAATCCACCGTCGTTTTGTGCTTCCCCGCACGCTTCAACACTTTTTTCTGTGAGCCCCTTTGCAAATCTTCGCTACACCATTCACTGTATGTCACTGGCATCATTCATTGTTTCTGTCGGATCTTTGTATGATCACCTATGCAATACTGATAACCTCACAAATCTTGAACCTTGTTGCCATTGTCTCCTTCGCTATTGCTTGAAACCCTAATTTTCCCTCGAACAAACATGGCGATTATTTGCCCAAGAGTCAAGAGAATCTCGGAACTAACATCCATCAGCTCTGATACCACTTGTAAGGAATCCAGTCGACTTTAGATCTCAAAAAAGACTTTAACTTTTACGATATTGCGAAAAACCTTAACTTTATGGCAACATAATCGAAATAGACAAACAACACACCAAACACAAAAGATTTTACGTGATTCGGCAATGTGCATACTTGAAACAAACAAACAATGCACAAAACAAGAAGATTTTACGTGGTTCGGCAATATGCGTACATCCACGGGAGAAGAGGGAGTTTTCTTTATTACTTGAAAAAGAATAATACATAAACACTTTCATCTCGCTATCACCTCACAAGAGTAATCACTCAAGCTTCTTGTAAATCCTTACAAGAATAATAACCTTCCCCTTGCAAATCCTCACAAGAGCACTCTCTCCTTTTTCTTCTTTTTCCTCATCTTCTTCACCATTTTCTTCTCAATATTACAATGAACCTTTCAAGGGGTATTTACTGATTTCTTTCCTCCTATTTTCAGCTCATATAGAATTCCTTCTTTTGACCAATTCTAATCCGTACAAGATTCCTTTCTCAAGATTTTCTAAAATTATTAAAATCCTACTCTTCTAATTGGAATTTAATTTCATTTGTAATTTTCCTTTCCTGTCAAAGTCAAACTTTTAATCCTAATCAAATTAGGATATTTGAGTCCAAGTCATATTCAACAACATGGACAGTAAGGGTACTGCTCAGGTGATGAAGAGTAGGCGGTTTACTGTTCACCCGTGAACAGTGGTTCACTTCAGGGTTTTACGGCTTCTTTGGGTATTTTGCCTTGAGGTGGACGCTGCAGATTCTTTCGAAGGGATTGATCGAGAAGCATAATTTAAAGGGGAGAGGGTTTTGATACATTACTACACAGTACACACCCAAGGACTTCACACCCCAAAGACACTTCACATTACACCAGAATTTTCCTAACCCAATTTTTTATTAATTATCAATGTCTAATTCCTCATGGAGAATTACGACTTTATTTACAGAGAGACTAAATCTAGAAACTAAAACAAATCATAATTAAATCCTAATAAAAGGAAACAAAATAAAATCCCCAACAAAATAAATTGTCAAAGATACTAAAAGATCCTAAAATCAAATCCTAAGAAAATATTACCTAAAAATAAATATTTACATCAAATAATATTAAAATAAAAAGATTCTAGTAAATCCTAAAAATTTCCTGACAATGGCCAACAATCGTCTTGTATCACATGGGAACATGCAATAGGCCATGGTTTATCGCAAGCAACTAGAATAGATTCAGAGGGGGGGGAAGATTCAGAGAAGCAGAGAACTCCTTTGGAAATCATCAAATTGGATACATTTGACTATTAAAGTAAAAAGTGCACATGACATGATTTATCTTTTTTTAATCATTATATTGTCTCCGAACTGAGTACAACTAGCTCAACTCTGTAAGTAAACGGTTAAGTAAATGAAACATGTCATCCATAAAAGAAAAAAGAAAACAATCCTAACAATATTGAGATGCAAACTATACCACAATGGGATGTATGAACCAGAAAGAAGCTCAGACAAGTATCTCACCAAAGAAATTTGCTTTATAGTTTAAAAAAAAGAATTATCTGCCACCATACAGTGCACACAGATCTGGATGCACATTTTACACAGAATAGACTCTATAAAAACAAACTACCGCGTGTCAAACATCATTGGTAGAAGAATGGAATCAGAAATATGATCATTGACCATAGAAATATGGAGCGAGCACATCTTAATCAATGTTAAGTGTTATAACTAATATCGACCAATCAGCAGAAGCTCTTAAAGGTATGGCAAAAAATTCGTATACTAAACATCCAAGTGAAGCAACATAACGAGGCCAAATATGTTCACCCTTAATCTTTGTAAAATTCTGAACATTATCACGAAGGCGTACCTCACTGTCAGTAACAGGTAAAACACGAGTTTGAATAGGGGACAACCACAGAGGAAAGTCACCCGCATAGTGCTCTATCAGAACACCAAAAAACCTCTCCAGAGACCCAAGAACAGCTCTGTGAATCATGATAGGTCGTCTTCTCTCAGAGTTTGAATCGACATAAGTTATGTCAAACCTCTGAGGCAAATTAAAATCAACCTGTAACATGACATAAATGGTTTTCTGTGAGAAACTCATGAGATTTGTGGATGAATAAAACCTGAAACTGCCAACTAAAAGAACAGGATAAAATCATATAAAAAGATGGATAGCTTGCCTGAACAGTCGAGCATTGCCACTTTCTTCCCAGAGCATCTTCAATTTTGAGATCAATCTTTGGACCATAGAAAGCACCACCGCCTTCATCGATCTGGTAGTCCCACCCCTTATCTTCTAAAGCCTGTCTCAGGGCTATGGTTGCTTTCTCCCATATATCATCGGTCCCAACTGATTTCTCAGGCCTGGTGGAAAGATTTACTTCATATTTTCTGAAACCGAATTGCAGCAATATCTCTTCAGTTAAATCAAGTACACCCCTTATTTCATCCTTTATTTGATCATCTAAACAGAATATATGTGCATCATCCTGCATATAACTCAAAAATCATGACTGATATGACGAGTTAACATTTAATATATATCAGATGCACATGAAAAAAATCAGCACCATTTGAGATAGAGTATCTTAAATTATGCATATCAAATGATTCACAACATATTGCAAAAATCAATTCATAATTCAGGGCTGATATGGAAATTAAGATCCCTTCAACTCTTCAGAAGGTTCCGTATAGAACACCGCTAATGTGCCACAAAATAAATCTTCCAATATCCTGATCTACTGCAGAATGAGAAATTCAAAATAATTTATAACAGAAACAGACATTAGAATCCCTTCAACTCTTCAGCAGGTTCCGTATAGAGCACCACTAGCGTGCCATAAAATAAATCTTCCAATATTCTGGAAATCTGGCTACTGCAGGATGGGAGCTCAAGTACTTTGCAGATCAATGACAAAGAATTAAGAGAGTTTTGAATTTACAATACAAAAAAAGGACATAAGAAGTCCCCTTTGCATGTGTTTGTCGAAGCCCTTTGTATGTATTTCTTCATGAGATTCCCTTCGTTTCTGTCTCCCCCTCTTCCCTTCGGCTTCGAAGTAAAATCCCCAGGCCACCTAAATCAGAGAGTAGAATCTTCTAAATTCCGAATATCTAAATCCACAATGGGACAAGGTAAAAAGGGCGCACATGATGATCTTTTCTATCAGGAATTTGTTGCCATGACAAAAATGGGGAGTAAGGGAGGATATATGTGCAGTTCACCTATTGATTGCCTTCATCTTTCAGTTGGATTTTTGAATGAATACTGGTAAATGAAGATAACTGGACAATAAGAAAGGATGAAGGACTACAACACTGGGTAAAGAAAAACAGATTAGAGTTGAACTTATATAGATGGTGGCTGACAACAGGCATGCAGTTGTAAAGAGCCAAAGGGATAGCAATTCAAACCTTCTCAGATGTTACTCACTAGGGAATTATTACAGAAGTAGCCTGATTTATGACTAATTAAAAATTCTAGGGCATTAATTAACCTAAGAGTTCTGTTGGGGACTTACAACCCAAAAATATTTTTTCCCCCTCATTACCAAAAATGTGAAGTGTAAACATCTCTCAAGTGAAATCAAATATTGTTCTTCCAATGTTCAACAGCCGGAGATGAGGGAATCAGAATACAAGAAAGAAACAGATCCTGTGAAACTAATATAAGTCATAATGCACCTTTTAGCATAGTGAAAAATAATAACTCTTGATGGGAAGGTACCTGGGTGAAACCTCTCACACGAAAAAGCCCATGCAAACTACCAGAAAGTTCATATCTGTATACTGTTCCCAACTCAGCAACTCTAATTGGGAAATCCCTATAAGAGTGTAGCTTCCTTTTGTACACAAGTATGTGGTAAGGACAGTTCATTGGCCGAAGCTGATAGAGTTCATCTTCAATGTTCATTTGGTCGTACATATTTTCTTTATAGAAGTCTGAATGACCACTGATTTTCCAGAGTTCTGCCTTTGCAACATGCGGAGTGTAGAGAAGATCATAACCATGTTGCATATGAAGTTGCTTCCATGAATCTTCAATCAGATGCCGGATAATAGCACCTTTTGGATGCCAGAATACCAGTCCCCCACCTGCATCTTCCTGCAAAATATTTGGATAAGGGTGAGGGACTCAGGATATGAACTTATAGTTTGCGAGGCTAGAAATATGACATGCAAGAGAAGATAATAAAGAGAAGAGAATGATGAAAACGCATAATAACTATTAAGCAAGAAAAAGCATAATAAATATTAAGCAATATGCTCCAACATAAGGCTTTCATTCTCAAAACTATTAAATAGGGCCCTCTGGTTAAGAATAATGCCCCCCAGAGCAGTGGTCAAATCTCAGTTGCCAATTACAAAGCCTACTTCAACTGTAGGTCTATCTAGGTGAATAAAGAACTAGCATAAAAACACATATTGGGTTTCCTAAGAAATTATGAGATCCCACCATTGTAATAACTTACCATGCACAACATGAAAGATTAAGGTGTTTAGCATGGTCCCAAGGAGCCAACGAATGATCCTCGGCAAACCGTAGGATAAGGCTATAAAGAAACAAGACAGCTCAAATTCAGATATTAGGAAACTGGAATGGAGAGAACAGGGAAATTATGAGCGTGTAGCATATTGTGTTGTTAACATAAAACACGCATGTCCCCTTGTGAGTAGCTATGTATTGCGTACAAAAAAAAAATCCTCGAACCAAGTTATAAAAAATGAAATGCGCATTCAAACACACAGACACAATTATCATGTACGCTCACATGTACCCATGCTCATGTGCATGCATGCATATACTTACATACGCGGATGCATATGACATCACATGATACAGATCAATTAGACATGCCTTCCAGATGCCGCAACATATATAGGCATCACCAAATCCCTACCGCAGCATAGTCAAAATTTTAGGTCAAACTTGAGTTTTAAATGATATAGCAGTAAAATGTCAAGCCTAGAAAGCCCAGACAAGCGTTTGCAAGAATGCAATTTTGGTAGCCAGATCATGGACAGCATTAGAATTTCATATAATGAATTTGCTAAGCATGACTACATTGACTATCGTCAAAGGAAAGTCAATGTAGTATACTTCCAGTTGGCATCAGACAAACTATCAGGGTATAAATACAAAAGCATTAAAATTCCCATGGACTATAAATCAGATATTTTTTGAAAAGATTGAAGAGTGACTAAAATGACCTTGCCGTATATGAACTCTTTTTGAGAACTGACTTCAGAATTAATTGCACAAAAGTTGAGGCCGAATCTGAGATTATATTGAGGAGGATTAGTAGTAAGCAGGTAACATGAAGCCAGTAGCAGAACTAGAGGTCCATGATTCGTCCAAATACCTTGTGACACAACTCCCATGCATGTTTATGGTTATTTATCTATGAAACATGACTAACATGAAGGAGATTATTGTGGAACTCCAAATGTATATCCAGCTACATGTCTTTATCAAACAGGCAGGAAAAGATATTGATACATTCCAACTTTTGGATCATGAAAGAAAAGTTAAAAGGTAAATACTCTTTTGCAAGAATAGGGCTACCTACAGCCAAGCAAGGTTGTGTAATGCAACCATTTACTATATATTAGAAAGTTTACCGACTTTTACTCTTATCAAAGTGGAAAATGCAACTACCAATAATAGTTATCATATCTTATAAAGTAAAGAACCCATCTGAAAGTAAGATTAATAAACCTGTATTGAAAATAAATCAAGATCCTGGCCCAGACGTCTATGGTCACGGCGCTTTGCCTCCTCTTTGAAGTGAAGGTAAGCTTTTAGCTGTTCTTCAGTCTCCCATGCTGTACCATATATCCTCTGCAGCATTGGCTTGCTTTCATCACCCCTCCAGTAGGCCCCAGCAACAGATTCAAGTTCAACAGCCTTTCTATCTATGTTTCCAGTGGAGTTAACATGAGGACCCGCACAGAGATCCCACCACTCATTCCCTGTTTCAAAAGGTAGAATTGTGACAGAATTTTAGTCAGATATGCATAAATTTTAGGGTTACCACATGAACAAAAGGAGTGGTCAATAAAACTAGTAAATTCAACCTATATGATAAATTGTGATCGAATCTTCCTTGATATTATCCAAAATCTCCAATTTGTAAGGCTCATTGATGGCCAAAATTCTTTTCTGCGCCTCTTCTCTGGAAACTTCTTCTCTGACTAACGGTAGATTTCGTCTAATGATACGATCCTACAAAGAATTAAGAAATGAATTCTGTACCCTGAAACAATTAAGTAATGAATATACTCACAGCAAAAAAAAATGCATCATCTTACTTCAATTATAACTTCTTGATATTCTCACCATTTCTTTCTTTATTTTCTTCAAATCTTTATCCGTTAAGGGGTCCATGTCAAAATCATAATAAAAACCATTGTCTATCCATGGACCTATTGTCACTTTAGCATTTGGAAAGACTTTCTGAACAGCCATGGCCATCACATGTGCGCACTGCAGAAAAATGGTAAATAAATCATTTCAGATTAATTAAAATAAGACCGATACAAGACATGCAAGATGCATATTTAAGCAGGGAGAGAATGGAAAATAGATTACTTCAAGGAAACTCAGATTAAGCTTGTAAGATTAACAAAATGAGAAAGTATAAAACAATTTTAGAAGGAGATCGCAACCAACTTGAACATTGTTATGAGAGTTGGCATATAAATTTAGATCCACAGGAAATAAAGGGAACCCGTGAAAGATTATTATGATTGCATGAATTGGGATCAAGATCATATAGCTTAACATTTCAGCTCAAATTTAGTTGGCAGCCCATAATCAAGAGTTTATTTTACAACTTCTGATTTGTCTGTTGTGACTTAACAATTTGGCTCAGATCAGTCTAAGATTTCGGGCTTCAAAGAAAGTATTAGGGAGGCTCTAGTTTGCTTCACATGTTATGCATTTGGTCAGCCATCCACAACGCAAAAGGGACCGTTGCTGTTGCAATCTACCAAAGGCACAGTGATAGATTGTATTGGGTACCTTGTTCTTAGTTAGGATAGGAGCAAGAACAAAAATACAGTTGTACTCTCCTGTATCCAACAACTCTACATACTTACGTGCAAAAGGTGTATGTGAAAACATGTAAACTTGAAAAACTGTTTGAGTTAGTACACCATGTGGGGAAAAAGGTCACTCAGGCTCACTCAAGTTTCTGATAACCCTACTTCAAATTGGGATTGGTTGGGGAAGTTGATTCAGAAAATACTACAACATCAAAGAGATGGTCAAATTGTTTAAATGCTGGTTTATGAATTGAGTTTAAGACCTCGAAGGTAAACATTAGTTCCCAAACCATTATCATAAACTAGCATTAAACCTATTTTGCATTGCAAGTAATGTCATTATCATTGAGCACCAGACATTTGTTAGTTTTCTAGATATGGAGGATTGAAGAAGATAATGATTGTAGTCTAACTCTATGATTGTTAACACAACACATTTCACCACCAAACAATGAAGAAATCTCCTAACCCGCAGGAAACAATTAGCATAGAGCTCTGAATAACCAACTACATCTCTCAATTCTCACTCACTTGGAGGGAAATGAAGCCCCATCCTACCTTCTTGAGCACTTCTTTGTAAGGAGTATATGTTTCATTTATTTTGATCGTACAGGATTTGTCGAAGGGCAAAAATATTACATTGGGAGGCGATAACAACATGAAGGACTTTGGGGGTAACATCCATTACCCTC